AGTACATACCAATTAGGATGGGTATAATAAAAAGATCAAAAGCATTGGTAAAGATGCACAAAAGGAATGGACAATGGCAATTCCCTACTTTCATCCTGTATTTTGGGTTTAATCATTTTTGTTCTGGAAAATCCTAACATCTTTTGTTTAGAACTCATAGAAAACATCTTTGTCTAATGATCTGCCACTTCTTGTTGCTCTAGTAACTGACCTATCCTAGAGAGCCAATGTTTGACATGTAGGACACTTCCTCAAGTGGGTAGTAGCTACTATATGACTTGGCAAACCTATAATTAGCTATACACCAAGAGAACCAATATGACCACACAAAAATATGTGAATTTTCATATAAGCATTATCTGTTTTACTCAAAAGGTTGAAAACAACCCAAACTACCCACCAACTGATCAGCAATAAATGTGCTATAAACATATAATTGCTACTACACAGCAACAATTAGGAATGAAATAATTGATTATAAAGTACAAACAACCTGAAAAACAGGCTAAGTAACAAAAACCACAGGATACAATTCCATGTATAGGACCTACCCAGCTCAGACAAACTGCAGAAAAAGACAATGCAATAGTGGTTGCCTAGGACTGGGTGGGATGGGGTAGTTGAGTTTTTTGGGTGTGATAACCATGCTTCTTTTGTATACTACTCGGTCAGCACACTAAAGGCCAATAAATCGTCCATTTTGCATGAATTGTGAACTATATGGTTCATAAATCCTTTTCCAATATCAGTTTTATGATGATGATATATTGATGAGTAGGTTATAAAGAGTATTTCACAAGACACAGTGTGCTGGCTACACTGGAAGGTCAAAACAAAGAATTACAGCTCCTTGATGCTCACAGCTCCTGGGACACGTGAGTGAAGAACACACAAGATAGGCGGAGGTCAGGATACAAAGGACCTTGAACACTATAAAGCTATACAAAATGGATCTCAGCTTCACAGCAGACAATAAAATGTGGTCAAGGTCACATAGAAAACAGCTGCCAAAACCTATTAGTCTCTCCTTACCTTCTATTTTGTAATGCGTTCAGTGGTTATCTAGAAGAGGGTGAGACAACCACGTAAATACAACAGTAGGCCTAGCTATTCCTATCACCAAGACCCTTCCCTTGTGGGTGAGCTTGGAAAACAAAGTGTTTTCTATTGTAAGAAATTACCAATACAGAGTCAGGTAAAAATATAAGGGTATTTAATAGGGAAAAGCCTTACTTACAGAGCGAACCAGCCAGCCGGTGGTAGTCTGTACAGCAAGAAGCAGAGAGACCAAAACCGAAAACGCAGTCCCCCTACTCACTCTGACCACACCCTCACAAGCCCTCAGGTACTCTTGTAGCCAGCCCCTAAGAAGGCGTGGCTACAGCTTCCCCTACAGTTTTCCATTCAACAGTGAGCCATTTCTTTGAGGGAATTCCAACCCTTTGTTTATGTTAACAAACACAGAAAAACTGCTGAACAGCACAGCTAAAGACAGAGAGGGAGGGGTTCCAAAAGTGGGAGGAGTCAGCAGTGAAGCACCAGCAAGTATGAAAATCATGTTTACACTTAACTTTTCAGTACAAATCACTTGTAATTTAAATCATCTCAAACTAGACAATCTCAAACTTAGAAAATCCTACATAAAAGTAGCTGGAAAGACCTTTTATAATGTTATTTCTAAAATTTGAGTTGTAAAGAACATTCTCTCTAAAAGGCAGTCAGACTTACTCCTCTCCTCTAACAGGGGGAATTATGGGACTGTTAAGACCCAAACACCTGGGGTTCAATTACAGTTAGAAACTCAGACCTTAGAGTGTTGCCTTGTGGTTTGAATGTGAAATGTCTCTCATAAACTCATGTTTGAACATTTGGTCCCCAGCTGTTAGTGATGGTTTGGAAGGGCTGTGGAACTTTCAGGACTGGAGCCTGGTTGGTGGAAATGAGTCATTGGAGTAAGTAAGGCCTGAGTTTTTACAGATGGCCCATTTCACCTTTGTTTCCAAACTGCAGAGACCATGCTCCTGCACCGTACTGTCCTCACCATACTGACCAGCACCCTCAAACTGTGAGCCAAATTAGACTCTTCCAAAGTTGCTTTTATCGGATACCCCAGCAATGAGTAGCTAATAAACTTTTTTCATTTTATCTATCCATTTTCTAGCACATAACTATACTCCATTTGTCACATAGAAAATAGGATGAAAGTCAGTCTAGGCTGGATTACTGCAGATACTACCGTATTATTATTAGGACACTGAACATTTTTATGCAGAGGAAGATACAGTTTGCTAATTTACAAGTTCATTGACAGAATTATTAAACAAACAATTTTCTTAATTTAAAAAACAATATAGTTTACTAACATATGTCTGGTAAAGACATGACATACCTGCTGGAGAGACATGAGGACAGCTGCTCATTTTTAGCAGCTTGAGTGTGTCACTGTTGTTGGCCACTAGCACTTTAAGGGATGGATCGTCTACTGGGGTGTCATCTATCTTAAGTGAGGACAGGGATTTGGAGTTTACAAACACAACTGTCAGTGCAGAGATAAAGTGAGACTGAAAGACAAAAGATTAAAACACTGTTTCAGTTCTTTAGAAATGACTTCTTACGGTTTCTTTACAATGCTAGTTATGGCTCTCTGCAGCCTAATGAGGAATTTCAAGACAAGGCGGCACCCCCTCACAAGGTTACCTAAGTATAGTCTAAGAGGGGACTAATTTTCATCTCTGAGAAATGCCTTTTGTACCTGTGGAAGAAAATGTCACCTCAAGCCTCAGAATGCTTCTAAATCACAGCAACCTCAATAAGATCAAAGAGGAAGCCTGAAACTCAGGCTAAGAGTCTTTCAAACAGTCACTGTATTTGGAAGCTAATATCCTGTACATTGCACTACATAGCAAAGAACATAAACACAGAAACTGGCAGCACAATCATCAAGACTGACATCAATCAACTCAAGGTTATAACTCAACTGGACCATGGAAGCCTCTAATAAAAATTTTAAAACAATCAGCATCATTTAAAAATCCCAAATTTATAACCCTCTCAAAACACTGCATCTAAAACATTCTCAAGACTTGATTTTAATGTATTTTACTTATAAATATTACAGGATATCCTTGAACTTCTTACATACATACATCTGTTGAACAGAGATTTATCTCATCAAAGGGAATCCCTACGGAAACGAGAATTATAGCACATAAAGTATCTGACTTTGAATCAGAGCTGAGGTAAGCTATAATCAATGGGCAAATATTTGGGAGAAGAAAGAAATATCAATACATGATTCAACATGTGCCTACAGAACCAACCTCACCCTAACCCTACAGCAGGGTCAGGGAGCGAAACCATGTTAACAGACAATGAAGTACAAGCAAATATTGCCTCCTTGGTCATAATCCTTAACTTGATTTTTCCTTACTGTGTCTAAACAACTGATTTCTAAAATTGTGATTAATAATTTATGCATCAATATCACAGTATCTTCCTTTTATCTTTTTTCCTATCAAACTCAACTATATCTTCCACGATCACAGTTCTTTATTAAGCCCATGTGACTGCGTGCTAACTTCTTTCCTCATTGTCCTGATTTAGCTATGGTCACATGCATGTCTTCTATTTTTCTCTTCTGTTCAGGATAGCCAAAATATAGGAACACCTTACTTCAATCTTTTCTACAAGAAAGAAAGAAAGAAAGAAAGAAAGAAAGGGAAAGAAAAAGAAAAAAAGATAAAAGGACAATAATCTGAGGCAATTCCAGCTATATCAACATTTCTTCAATTAGCACTACAAACATGCAAACTGAAAGCCCCAGATCATAAAAAATAAAATTATGTTCAACGTGCTTTATAATATGGCTTATTCTATATATTCCACATTTTAAAAATACATTATGGCAGTTACATAAAATATCAACTCTGAGCATTTCCTTTCCCATGAGGCTTGAAAACGGAACTATACTGTAATCCATTTAATGCAAGGCCCCTGGACAGTCTTTGGACTGTTGATAGAAGACCTGGCTTCAACTACATTTAGGAGTAGAGTCCAAACTCTGTACACAGCTAGATCCAAGTCACTGGCACTCTCAGGTACTTGAGAGTCTTAATGTTTTTTGTTTTGTTTTTTTTTTTTTTTTTTTTTGGTTTTCAAGACAGGGTTTCTCTGTATTGGTTTGGAGGTTGTCCTGGCACTGGCTTTGTAGACCAGACTGGCCTCGAATTCACAGAAATCCGCCTGCCTGTGCCTCCCGAGTGCTGCGATTAAAGGTGTGCGCACAGTCTTAATGTTAAACAGATTCTCTGCTCCATTTCACTTCTTTACTCACGAGAAAAACATTTTATCTCAAAACTCATGAGAAAACATCCTATCTCAAAACATACAAAATAATGAAACTTACATTCAAATAGAGGTTTTGAAATCATAGTATTTTATCTGGTTCTGCTATTCAACTGGAACAATCACCTAACTCCTATTTAATATTCCTTCCTGAATCACTCTAGTAAAATGAACTGTGAGGTGAGTCTATGTATTTGGTGCTGGAAAAATGGCTGCTCTTCCAGAGGACCCAGGGTTCAGTTCCCGGCACCCACATGGCAGCTCACAACTGTCTGCAACTTCAGTGCTTGGGATCCAATGCGCTCTTCTGGCCTCCATGGGTGCCAGGCACATAACTGGTGCTCACACACATAAAATAAAAACTAGTAAGTCATATTTTACTTTGTGGTATACTTACAAAACAAATTATTCCTGCTAGCTGGTCTGGGGATGCAGCTCAATGGTAGGACACTGGTCAGGCCATGGGTGTGATTCTCAGCAATACACGCACAAATGCACACAGTTATTGAATACTAACCTACTAAGCATTAGCAAACCAGAGTGCAGTTTTTATCAACTGGCCTTCCTCGGAAGGTATTTCAATTATTTTTCTGTTTCAAAGAGAAGACTTATGGGCTTATAAGATGGCTCAACGGGTAAGAACACTTGCCCCCAAGCCTTACGACCCAAGTTCAAACCCTGGAACCCACAGGGCAGAGGGAGAACTGACTCCTGTAAGCTGTCCCGACATCCCACACATGAATGCACACACACACACACACACACACACACACACACCAACAAAATGTCAAAAAAAAAAAAAAAGTTTTAAAAAGAACAGTTGTATGGTAGAGACTATTCCTTAATTATGTATAGGGCTAACGCAGTTAAGGATAGCTGGCTTGAAATAAGATCTGTAAGGTAATTCAAGGTATACTGACATTAACTTTACTCAGAAATACCCTTTTCATACATTTACCAGAAGCATTTACATAATAATCAGGTTCTACTTGCTCAATAGTGGCATTCCTACTTTTGACTTTCAACAACCCTTTCTAAGGCTCAGAAAGAAGAGTCTATGGTTAGTCTCAGATTTACATTTCTTTTATCACTTCCACTACCTAGATAATCTTCTGTAAACTCACTTATTCTGTAACTGTACCAATGAAGAACCAAGTAATGCTTCATTTCCTATTTTACTGCTGCTTGACAGAGAAATGGCTCAACAGTTCAAAGTTCTTGCTGCTCTTGCAAAGGGCCCAGGGTTTGGTTCCCAGGACACACATACATGGCAGCACCTGCCTGCAACTCCAGTTCCAGGGAATCTGCCACCCTCTTCTGGCCTCCCCAGGCATCAGATACACATGAGGTACACATACTTACATGCAAACAGAACACTCATATACGTGAAAAAATTATTTTTGTTTTTCTTCGAGACAGGATTTCTCTGTGTAGCAGTCCTGGGTGCCCTGGAACTAGCTCTGTATACCAGGCTGGCTTGGAACTCACAGAGATCCGCCTGCCTCTACCTCCCATTAAAAACTCTTTAGAAGTCTACTCTAAATACTAATTTTTAACACTGTAAACAGTAACTAGATCTCTATTACACATACAGCATCCCTATCCTCTCTGTCATTACTAACAATGCTGGGCTTTCACTGGAATCCCCTGAAAAAGGGAATGACACAAAGTAGCTCATACCTTTGGTAGATCCATAAAGCTTGGCCGAGCTGTTGAAATAAGTCCAAGTGTTTTTAAAGAGCAATTCACAAGCTGTGATAATATGTCACAAGCTGCTTCCGCTGATTCTTTGCTGCTGTCCACCTTAGAAAGAAAATATGTCTTACTCATGGAACAGCCACATTTCTCTTTGAATATCTTAATTTTATAAAAGCAAGAAAGGTAGTTAGTTATCAGTGCATTATCATTTAAAGGACATTCATCTTTAATCATCTCTCCACATAACCTGAGTCTAATTTTCACAAGAGTTCATTATAATCCCTATATATATTTACTTATTCAGTGCTAAAAGACTAAGTTGATTTATTTCAAGTAACTGTACAAAATGAATCAATTTCATCTTTAGGTGGTAATTGGTACTTGAGTAAATCAAACAACACATGTAAATAGTGTCTACGTTTCAGGACACCTGAAGACACTAATGTCATTTAGAATTTTCAGATGAACCACATAACCTGACATTGCTCAGTGTTCTGAATTGAAAGATGCATTAGAGAAAAGTAAGAGTGTCCAATTAAACAAGCACAAAATAAACTGAACCAAAATAGAGGTTGCTGCTTAGTTCCCCGAAGTAAAGGACAATACAATCAAACACCCACACCTGAAGGGTAAAAGTTAGTTTATCTCTAGACTACAAATGTTAAATACCGTAACTTTCATTCCCAAGTAAATGTGTGTTTTATTGCATGCCAAAGGAGCTCTTAAGTGCTATCATGTGGGCAAACAATGCACTAATCACAGCTCTCAAAATGAGGTTCCCAAACCACATGACAATGATCTGGATACTGGATACAAGCAAATTCTTATCCTAAACCAAACCATCTGAATTATAAAGTCAGTGAGTGGGAGGCGCAAGCTCTGCCTTTACACCCGCCTTGGTGAGGCTACTGAGCACAGTCTGAGGAGCACTGTTTTGGCTTAAAGTTTTCTTGAGTTTACAGTGACCACTTAACTATTATCAGGAGAGGCCAGAATAATCCCTGCTGTGTCCCTGCTTTCTAAATCAGAAATGACAAAATACATCCCTGACAAAAAGTAATTTAAGCACAAATGAGTTCCATAAGTTGGATGTACCTGAGCTCTATCACTGGACTGTAAGTGACTATAAGGACTAAACACCAAGGACCCAGGCAGCCTACTATACAGAAGGACCTTTTACAATCTACTCAAATCACTTCTATTACAAGTTCTCCTATCTTACCAGAAGACAGATAGTATTTAGTAACAGCATAAAGGTCTAGGTGAAGACCACTGCTTACTACAGATTTAACCCAATTCCTTTAGCAAACAGGAAACAAAGGCAAGTCAGGCAATGACAGGCAATTCTATGCTTTTACTTTTTTGGGTTTTGTTTTTAACGTTTTTTTGTTTGTTTGTTTTTCAAGACAGGGTTTCTCTGTATAACAGTCCTAGCTGTCCTGGAATTCACTTTGTAGACCAGGCTGACCTCAAATTCACGGAGATCTGCCTGCCTCCGCCTCCCAAGTGCTGGGCTTAAAGGTGTGTGCCACCACTACCCGGCTGTTTTTAACATTTTTAAGAGAGAAGGCCTTACTATATACAGCCCAGGGAGGCCTCAAATAGTTGATTCTCTTGCCTCCCCAGTCCTAAAGTTACATGTGAGAGTCACCATGCCCGGCACATTTTCATCTTTTAACGCTAATTGTTAAAGAAAAATTTAGTATCAAGGATTCAGTGAGCATCCCAAAATACAACATGATAAACCCTTGTTCTCACACAAGCTCCTATGATTTCATATAACACTCTTCAAATCTCCAAATACCACCTTCCTTCACTCATCTCAGCATGACACATGCTCTCTCTCATCTCACCATTACACGTGCTCTTACTCGCCCCTTGTAACACTGAAATGAAGCAATCCCCCTCTTCCGTTTCCCTCTAAAATACACTCAAGTTGAAAAGTTCGATTCTATACCATCTTTAGATTTAGGGCTTTTTTTTTTTCTTTTTTAAAATGAAAATATATCAAAATAAGAAACACTTGCTGGGTGGTGGTGGCGAATGCCTTTAATCCCAGCACTCCGAAGGCAGAGGCAGGTAGATCTCAGAGTTCGAGGCCAGTCTGGTCTACAGAGTGAGTTCTAGGACAGCCAGAGCTACACCAAGAGACCCTGTCTTGAAAAACAAAATGAAACAAAAGCAGATAAAATAGCCAAGTAAGTTCTGCTCAGTAATCATTCCCCAATGTAGTGGTTCCTAACTTTTGTAATACTGTCTCATGTTGTGGTGACCTCAAACCATAAAATTATTTCATTGCTATTTCATAACTGTAACTTTGATACTGTTATGAGTTGTAATGTATGTATCGATAAGCAGGATATCTGATATGACCCCCCCCCCAAAGAGGTCAAAACCCAGAGACTGAGAACCACTGCCTTAATGTTAATGATACATTGCTCTTTCCTCAAATTTGTTGTTAACCATTCGCTGTTAACTTAAAACTTCAGTCAATTCATGCTCACTTAGTGACTGCTTTTGTTCTTTTAAGTAATTAATTGTAAAGGAGTATTTTAGTTCTATCGAATATTAAAAAATGTTTGCAATGGCTTCTAAGGTGTGCAATAATTTCAAAACTTTAAGCACTTTCCCTATAGAGTCAAATATTTTATAGACATAAGAAGTTGTATTGGTTAGAACATTAAAGCCTCTAAAAATGCTTTATTTTTAACAGAAGGAGTTAAAGTATTACCTTGAAGCTGACATACTGCAGATGGTTTGAATGCCTTTTAATAATCTGTTTGATCAGCTCTGGATGTGTAGCTTTCAAGTAAGATGTAGCTGGCTGATTCAGCTCAAATTCAAAACATCTCCACAAGTCAGGCATGTGAAACACCTGATTCCAATTCCGGCACACTTGGGAAGCATGAGCCCGATCAAGCAGAGGCAAGTACTTAAACACCTGGAGAATAATGTCCTGCAGCAGATTACCCCAATCACAAGGTTGAGAACACTCATGTGCAGTCCTCAGTTTCTTACGTTTCTCTGCAGTGCCTTCTTCAGGTGAGTCAAGGTCACTATCTCTTCCTCCTCGTTTCATCCTATTTAGAAAAATCCGTCATTTTTCCCATCCTACTTAGCTTTTAATCACAAATTCATTTTCTGTCACTGAGACCTATTTGCATTTGGAGAGTTAACAGAAATACACACAGAACTGAATCAATGATTCAAGGAGAATATAAAAATAGAGGTGATTTCAACCACTACTTATGACCTAAGAAAACCATAGATATATGATTCAAGAGTTGTACTCAATACTGAAAGTGACTAGAAAAGAGCCTATAGTGATACTTTCCAATTTCGTCAGTCACCCAAGGATAACTATATTTGAGTTCTTAAATGTCAAGTCGATCAAGGTGCCTATGAACCTCTAGAGAGGATGAAAGAAAGGTAAGTAGTCAACAGATCTACACTGAATAAATAGCTGTGACAAGTGCCAGTACGGCTGCATATGTCCAAACTTGGGCTAGAGCATAACCCAATGTTAAAGACCTTGCCCGAACCACTCCAGGCCTGTGCTCAACCTGGAACAGCATAAAACAGATTAAATAATTAAGGCAATCCACCTTGACTGCACTGTTTCAGCTGGAATGTGGTTTCTTCCCTCAACTCATTATTGTCACTCTGCTCTCCCTGTCTTTTCCTTTTTTCCTGAATAACACTTCCATGTGTTTTCTACATTACACACTTCATTCCATTTGCTTCTTGAAAAGATGATCTGCTCTCGTAGCCAATGGGACTAGAAGCTCTAAGACCAAGCTTCCTGAGTTTGAGTCTCTGCTCCCCTTCTCACTAGTTGTATGGCTTTGGGTAAATGACAAGACTGTCAGATGTTCCTGTTTGTAAAACGGTGACCTTAAGATACAGGGTTCTTGCTGGGCATTGGTGGCACACACCTTTAATCCCAGCAGGCGGATCTCTGGGAGTTCGAGGACAGGCTCCAAAATACAGAGAAACTCGAAAAACAAAAAAAAGATACAGGGTTCTTGTGTGGAATGAAGTATTAGGGCTTTTGAAAGGAGAGCCAATTGATTTCCTGTTTAGAAAAACAGCCCAGAATGAAAGCCATCACACAACTCAGTAGAAAAGGGTGACTGCCGCCTCCATGTGAGGAACAGTTTAATTTTTCCTTTCAAATCAGGGATGGGGAAGTAGTGGTATGGATAAACACTGCAAAGAGCTCCACTAATTTGGCATAATGGCCAACAATGGGCAGTGGAATTACGGAAGCCCTTTCCCCTTTCTACACTGCATACAATTATTTCTATTCATTATGATGTAATCGATATTCTAAAGGACACATCTTAATTTGTTAGTTGGCTGAGTACGTTGCACTCTAGACTAGCATGGACCACTTGCTGGTACTACTATTCAGTCTAGGGCCTACAATGTTTGTTTCCAGACAGCAATTCTGACAAGGCACTGGTCCAAACAAGACTCAAAAGGATACCTTGTCACGCCAACCACCTTGTGACAAATTAGCACAGAAGAATTTCTTAATCTTCTGTGCAATGAAGGATGTGCACATGTACAGACTTTCTTATCTAGTAGCTGGCAAAATCTGTGAAGGAGGACTGAGGGCTGGAGAACAGAAACAGGATGTGGAAGGAAGGGCATCATCTTATGTCCTGTCAGTTGAGGACAGTAACAGTATCTGCTCTTCACTGTCCCCACACCTGACTATCTATGCACACACACAGGGCTTACTGTTGAGAAGAAAGAGAACCCAGAAAATAAAACCGACAGAGGTAACAAGATAGCTTTATGGAAGACTCAAACTTATTCATGAATCTAAAAATAGATTTTATAAGTGTGCTCAGGTTAGAATAATCTATAAGGCCATCTTAAAAAAAAAAAAAACTAATAAAAAATGTCCCACTAGAGGTTAAGCTGTCATTATGACCCATTTTCCCACTTTAACTTATCCTGAAGGTTTAACTTTAATTTTAGCATTTCAATTTGGGTCAAAGAACAAAGAGTTTGCAACCAAGGACTTAGACTTTATTACCAAAATCTACCGAGAATTTTGAGCTACAAAGATTCAGAACAGAAAGGGTCTTCCTACTTCCACACAGGATGTGCTGCAGCTTCTGGAGAAATCCTTCCAAGCCAGAGCTTAACGACGGAATCCTTCACTTTACTGTCAAGATTCAAATCAAAACAGTCACTTAACAAAACCCTGCTAATCCTAAGCTTACATAATTTTCATTTGAGGCAGGGTCTTGATATGTAAGCCTAGCTGGCCTTGACATCAGAGATCCTCAGCTTCTGCCTCCCAACACAGTCCTATTCTAAATGAAGTGTATTTCAACACAGCTGCAAGTCTGGGGGGGGGAGTCAGAGAGGACAATATAAAATTACCCACCACTAAGAAACAGAATTCTAAATACGACCCTTGATCTAAATATAAACTGAATATATGGATCACCAAAGTATGTATTAAGTACTTAGTAGTTCACGATAGCTAAAGTCAAAGGCATTATGAAATTAATGACAAAATCTTCCGAGGCAATAGAAAAACAAAAGGCCAAATGCTAAGATGTGCTGTGCACTATTCTCATTTGGGCGTGAAAATAACATTAGTGAATGAACCCCTAACAGAAGTCTGAAATATCATTTTTCAAAGTTAGTCTTTTTAGTTCAAAACTTCCAATGTCTTTTATTTTAACCACCTACACATGAAGCTCTGCTGTATAGAAAGTTGAACGACTCAGAGCATTCACTAGTATACAGCTAGTTTACAGCGATGGGTTTTATACTGCTTGCTTCTAGCTGAAGTGTAAGTGCCTCGTCTGTTTGAACAGGAGAAAGGAGTGTCCGGTACCAAAACAAGCCAATAAACATCAATGAGATTTTTCTAGCACAGAAAACCCGGGCTCTGCCGGGTTTGATTTATTGTAGTGTTTCAGGAACCCAAATATACAGCCAGGGTGGCAGGAACTTTTGCTGGTATTTGTATCAAGTGCCAAAAAAGCAGCCTAATTAAGGAAGCCTACCAACTAGCTGAGCAGCCACCAGCGAGCTAATCAAACATTTCTCAAACGGAGCGTCCAAGTTTTTACTTAGACACTTGCTGGGCATGACGTAATTAAAAGACCTTACTTGTACCTAAGCTTTAAACGTCCGTCTTTGGCATTACGTTTGCCTTATGCCCCAAGTCTTGCTTTGGGCAGCAGGGAAACCTAACACACCTTCTTTGGCTGAAATACAAGTACTGAACAACATGGAAGAGGTAACTCTGGGGATGGAGAGGGAGCCGCGGAGGTCCAGATACCCGGGAGGGCGCACACCGATAACACCGAGTGGGCTACAGTGGCGAGTCACAGACATTCTTATGAAGAGTTCAGGGAAATTTTAAAAGTTACCTTTTTCTCCTAAGATAAAATACAACCAAAACGCCTCCCGCTGTCACCTCTCGCTCGGAGATGCCCCGGGACCCGGCTGCTTCCTTCCGCACTCTGGGCGGCTGCACCTAACTTGGCCAAGTTTTCCACTCGGCGTGGGCGCTGCCGCCTCCCGGCCTGGCTCCCTCGGAC